ATGATGCACCCCAAGAAGCGATCGGATGTGTAGACGTTCAAGCAACCTGCCGATAGGTGGAAAGTGTGTCTGGCGCCATTGCGCTTCGGTTTGCCACGCCGTATCTGGGCGCGTTAAATGCCATCTCGCTATCTCTGCACCCCGAGCCCCTCGAGTTGAGAGAATGTACGTGGAGCTCAGTACCGCTCCAATGGCGGTGCTTAATAAGAAGGCATGCACCTGACCTTCACCAAGAAGCTCTCCCATCTGCTCACTGTATCGCCCCACGATTTCCTCTTCCTCATTTGCCTCTCCGTCGTTGCATTTTTCCTTTTTGAACTTCATCCAGTCTGACATAAAAGCGTGCAGGGTATGCAGCAGCTGGTACGTTGTACCAGGGGCTTGCGCGACGAGGTGTGGACAAAACGACTTGCACAGAATCGCTGTGCGCCGAAACCGCGTCCTGGCAACTGTGGCGTTGAATGTCTCCTCCGACACCGCTCCCCACGCAGCCATACCAATCCTCTCTTCCTCCCCAGAGCCATCTTCGCCACTCATGTGTTCTTCTTTCCCGTGAGAATTTCCCTTTTTGATGTCGCATTTCTTGTGCTGCGCTGCACACGCTCGGAAGAACTGCCGCCACGCCGTAAAGTCCCCGCCCTTCGCCGACAATTGCTGGAGAAATACACAAAGGAAGCAGAACCACAATGCGTGTAATTCCTGCAGCAAATCTTCCTCCTCCCCAGCTCCCCCGCTCGTACTTTTCATACTGTCATCATCCTCATCATTATTGTTAGTATCAATATCATCATTATTATTCGTCTCCACACACGCCACTCGCAGACGTTGCGAGAAGAATGCGCTAGCAATCGCCACCGCAGCTGTCTTCACTCCCACCGGAAGCTGTGACGATCCAACATTCGCCGAGGCGACAACCGTGTAGCAATGCAGTATTGTCACGACACGCAAAAAGAAGGTCTCCAGTGGCGCGGGCGTTGGGTCCGCAATAAAAGAATTCACCGAGCGACGCACACACGCGAGAGTCTCTAAACGGCTCGCGTTTTCGGGAACACCGGTGATTTCGATAAGCGAGGCCTCAAATGCCGCCGCCAGGTCTCGCCCTCTACTCTTCCATGTGCCGTTCACCGTATCTTCAGCGTAGAGAAGCGCAATGAGTGTCTCCTCCACACGCTCGTGCAATTGCATGTATACACGGAAAGGAGTACAATGTATTAAAAGAAAAATACAAATAAGTGATACCTTCAATACGCCCTTCCTGATTTACTTGCGCCGCATCCAATGGGAGATACGAGGCCCACAGAGAGCCGTGCATAAAAAGAAAAAGGTAGGGGAGAAATTCACAGGGAAAGCGACATCAACAAAAGGAAATCGTTAAAAAAAAATAATAACAACAACAACAGCAGCAAGAACACAGGCCAAAGATCCATCACCCTCGCCATTGTTGCCGAAAGGAAAATGTGATGGAAGACGCATAAAGCAAAAGTGACGAAACGGAAACACACACACACACACACATACACACACACAGTCACACACATACACACACAGTCACACACAGAGGCAGCAACGCCGTCGCACACATTCAACACCCTTCGTCCGCACTCAAACGCTCCGGCTGTCATTCTTCTTGCTGGTGTCTCTTTCCTACAATGGCCGTTCGGTAATTCTTTTCCTCCATGGTGTTGGATATGTAATTGTCTTCCCTCGTCCTGTTTACTCAAGGCTTCACGTATCGCGTTAGTGATTCATGAAATGTTTGTAATTAATTATATGTGGGGCTGCAAGAAAAAAACCCCTAATCCATCTTTTTGCCTCCTCCGCGGCCATCCAGCACGCCGCATTAACACTCTACTGAAACAGTGAGTTCACCATCACTTCATGTTGTCCGCTCAGCACATACGGCACAGGCAATAAAAATCCCACTAACTTCGGCCGGGGCTCGTAGCAGACTGCCTTGCCTTTGGTTAGTCGATGAAAACCACGCTTGGCAGGCACGTCGTTTGATTTCAGACTGCGTTGTATCTCCTGAAGCTGCTGCTCCAGCTTCGCGACCCCACCACGCTTCACCACTTCACGAAGAAACTCGGCATCGTCATAGATTTCCTCGTCCATGTCTCCCTCCGAAATGTGCAGAGCACGTGCCGCCTTTCCTTCAGCAGTTTGAGACATTTTGTAGTGCTCAGGGTGACCCAAAATTGTCACATGCGATCTGTTTTTCTGCACTTTGGCTCGCAGCCGCGTCTTGCTCTTAAGCACAGAGTGTATTTGTTGCAGTAAAGGCTGTGATACGGTGCGAAGCTTCGCACTGTTGGGTTGCACAAGTTTTGCCCCCCAATACTCGACACAGGCGTCAACGTCGCGCATCATACGTCTGTGAGAAGTGTTGATGTCTTTAAAACTCAATAGGACACCCTCTTTCTGCTTCGCTTGCTTGTCATCTGAGGTAAGAAGATAAAAAACCCCAAGTAGGTCCCGCAGGCACCGCACAACTTCTTCCGTGCCTTGCCTTATCTGTGCCTCATCCGAATTTAAGTAGTCAGGGAGGGAATAATACTGCGGAAATGCCACCGCACGTGCAATAGACGGTTGAAGCTTAATGCGCACACGAAGAAGCTGCGAGTAAACCATCACGTAATGCCTCAGCGCGGCCTGTGCACGCCGTCGCTGCTTTGCGCGCGGATCCTCGCTGTCATCTTCACCTTCTTGCACCTCCTTTGCCACGACTTCCATCTGCGCGTTCCGTAAAGACTCGAGCTGTTCGAGGATGCCATCTTCGTCTCCACCGGCAATATCGTGTCGCCTAGCCCGCTTCTTCGCCTGCTGCGCCTCAAGCCACGCGATGTATGCTTCCTCGGTCTCTGGCTTGCCACCCACACGCTTTCTCTTCTTCCCAAGAGAGTTGTCCTTTATGGCAGTAGAGGCGACGGCGGCAGATGATTCATCATCTTCATTGATTTTGTCTCCGCCTGCTCCGTCCTGTAAAAATCCAAAAAATTCATCTCATCCTCATCTCCGTCGTTCATCTCAAGAGCACCGAAGATATCATCCATCGCGGCCTCAACATTTACTGGAGTGGCGGCGTACGCCCCTGTCGACAGGGAGGCGTCCAATGGACCGCGGCGTCGCAGTTGTTTTCGTCCTTGTTGTGGTCGAGACGTTGGTTCCCGTAGACGGCGTTCGGTCCCGCTTCTCTTTTTCACCGATCCCACCACGTCATCGTCATCATCGTGTTCATCCCCCTCGTGGTAGTCATCAATTTTGGGGTTGTCACAACCGAATTCGTCCCATGCATCCACCTCGTAACGCTCTGCGTCTCCACCGCCTATTTGTTCGTTTACGATGTCACTTATGGACATCTTTTTCCTCCGTCCCGAGAGGCTCCGAGACACTGACATGACTCACGCCCTACCCAGCCCCAATTCTCCTCGTCTAAATGCGTGGTGCCTTTTTAAATTATTTTTAACAAGACCCGCTCCCCGCAATTCTCAAAGAGCAAAAGAAAAAACAAAAAACAAAAAAGAGAAACAAAACAATAAAATACAGAGATGGATGTATCAATTGTCTTCACACGCATGCCATTCACTTCAATGAGCCTCTCAGCGTGTTAGCTTTTTATTATTATTCCTTTTCATTTTCAGTGTTGTTGCCTTCTTTATTCCTCTTCGTTGTTTTGTTAAACGCCCAGTTCAAGGAGCTCCTCCTCCAGCGTCGTTGCCCGACCGCCATTTCGTTTCCTTCTGGCTTTTGCGGCCTCCTGCCGCCCCGAAAGGGTCGGGGGCGCCATCGTCAAAGTCTTCCCTCCATCCTTTTTTCCATCTTCTCCCTCCGTTCTTTCTTCAGCCTCATCCTGGCCGCTATCGTCTCTCTGCTCTTGGGACGCTGTCGCTGCGTGACCTTCACGCTTCAGCGTCGCGCGCAGCGCACACTTCTCCGGCGTGTACTTTTCACGCATCCGCCGCGTGTCAGGCATTCGTCGTAGCCGCGCTGGCACCGTTTCCAGAACACCGCGTTCTTTCAGTTCCTTGTACAAATAGAGACGACGATTGTTGAGGCTGTAGCACCGACCCGCCTTGTCTGTCAGGACACACAGCAGCGGCAGATCGTTGGGTGTCACTTCACAGCGAAGAAACTGATCGAGTGTGCTGGCAATTGTGCGGCCACATGAAAACGTGGGACGAATACGAGAAAAGGTAAAGTAAACGGTGGCAGGGTCTATTTCCACAATCACGTCGTCCTTCACTTTCGCCGGCATCGCAATTCCGTCCCTTCTTCCTCCCCCGAGCAGTAAAGGCCTAAATTAGTATCTCCTAATTGAAGTCAACGGAGCTGTATTGATCTATACCTCCTATTATTCGTACACAAAGCTGCTACTGAGCATCGACGACTGAGAGACAAGTAATATTATAGACACACGCACCAACTCGTCTTTCCTTCTCTTCTTACCCTCTTTGGTTCCTTTTTGAACAAACATAATCGTCATTTATATGTGTTTGCGTGCATGGGTGCGTCAAGAACATCCATTCAATGAAAGTCCAAACACCCTCATTCCAAAAAAGAAAAAAAAAAGGGGAAAAAAAGATACATTTCAGTCAAAAGGCACGACAACAAAACTTTGCTTGCAATATATATGTGTGGGATCTCCTCGATAATCTTATTTTACTTTTTGGTCGTCTTCGCTCATTACTTCTCCACTTTTTACGTATGCCCGAGCGGCACTGCATGCTCTTTTCCTCGTCGTCACTCTCCCCGTCACATGCAGGATGCAGTGTGTGTCAAAATGGATGGGACGGCAAAGTATGGGTTTTCGCGGTGCCACTTGCTTTGTGCCTGCATCCGCAGGTCGTGAGAGACAATCCCAGGCATGCCTTCCTCTCCATCCTCGCCACCCGCACTATCATCATGCTCACTCCCGGCCACGGCGGCCTCCAACATTTTCTCCTCCTCGGCACCATCGCGCTTTGACGCATCCTCGCCCACATCTTTGTTGGGAGTCTCCTTTGACTCTTGCGGCTCCCTCGTCGTTTCCTTCTGAACAGGCAGAAAGACAAATTCACCAAAGTGAAGATTCTTGTCCGTCACTACACCCGCAGACGGTGTCTTCGTGCCTGGCGGCACGTACACCGACTGCGCAAAGGAACAGATGCGTTCCCCCTTTGCGGTTACATCCCCGGGCACCACAGTGGGTGCCGCACGTAGCGGTGGGTAAATAACAGTCGTCGCCATGTGTAGCTGCTTTTCATAATCCATGAGACACCCCGAGCTTCCCCTCGTAGTCCCAACAGCAACCAAAAACTTACTTCCCTCACCCAACTCATCGTCTTTCTCAAGAGACATTGGAGAAGGAAAAAGATTATAGTACGAATCGCGAAAATACACCTCCTCCAAGTCCAACACCCGCTCCGTCGCCGTTGTATTCATGCCATCTAGAGAAGGTGCCGTTGCATTATCCGCAGCCACGTCTTCTTCTGCCACATCCTCCAGGTTTACCGGCAATGCGGGTACCAACTCGCGTTTTAACGATAAGAAACGCACGTCACGGAGACGTCGGACATCCATTGTAGCCACACGACGATCGTCAAGAAGACTCAGCCTTGAAAAGCTGTCAACGAAGCGCACAAAGACGTCCGTATTTGTGTGTGTGCAAACTGTTTCTTCTGGAATTTCCCCCACCACACGTAGTTGTCTTAGGGGATGCGGCACGATATCCGGTGGCGGCGTTGGCACCGTAAAGAGTGATGGGAGTGCGGGGAGTTGTCGCACCTCGCCCACCCCGATAACAGTTGTAGTGGATAATCGCCCACTACGTGCCGCTCCACCTCGATCTTTTGTTTTTCGCACCGGTGGGTACGCTTGACCCCAAATTCGCTCTGCCGCAATCTCTTTGGCGAGAGGTATTGCCGAGCCACTCAGCTCTTGAACGTATGAGAGTAGAATCAAATCGTAAATTTCTGTTAGGCAGTGCTGCACCACGGCAGAGAGCCGCGCCTCCCCCACCCCATTGATCTCCACAAAGCAGGAGGAGTCATAGAGTTGTGGTTCAAGACCCCAGAGCGTGACGTGCAGTTCCCCAATAAGAGCTTCCACTACATCGGCCTTTATCTTCCCTGTGCCCAACTTCTCTCGTACACCAATAGGCAGCAGTTCACTGACGTGAAGGGTATCGAACATAAACTCCAGGGTCACATTCATCTCACAGGCATCTCGGAAACAATTAAAGGAGTAGGCATTCTGACTGTACGCCCACTGCCTATCGGGGAAGAGGACCATCATTCGATTGGAGAGATGATTTCCCCAAGAATTATCTCCAATGTACTCCAGTCGCTCAAAAGCCACACGACGACGGTGGTGCATCTGTTGCGAGACAGCATCAAAGGTGTCAGGGGCTTGAGCTGCGAGTGAAAGATCAAGAACATTCAACTCCTTAAGCAAGGACAACAGCTTGGCTAGGACTTCGCTGCGCTGGTTCACACTCCATCGTGGTGATACAAGCTCCGGAATACGCTGGAACATGGACTCACGGTAAAGGATGTCTGACCAAACGAGGTAGATATCATCAATCGGATAGCCCCGTATGGCCAGTAACGCCAAACTATCCAACACCACTTCACGACAGGCATGATTGGTGTGGCTCGCGCGGTACGCCAGCACAACATGTGACTTTGGCGTCGTCTGTGACTCCTCCATACAGAGGCGGCAGTAATTCTTTGCCTCCTCCTTAAAGAAAAGCGCCTCTGCTGCGGCAACGGAGCGCAAAGAACGTAGCGGCTGTGCTCCATTCTCTTTCGTTGCCGCCGGCGCCGTCGTGTCATCGGCCAAAAAGCTCACGTAGTTGGCAAGTACATCCCCAGTGCTGGCAGCGGATGACGATGACGATGACGATGGCGAGACACCGCTGTTCCCGCTCCCGGCGGACGACGTAAAGCCAATCGTAACGCCACGGCGCGTGTAAGACTGCGAGTGCGCTACTTCAACCCGCTCAAGTGCTAAACGGAAAGTGGAAGTGCTAAAATGTCGGCACAGACGCCACGTCACCTGCCACTCGCTCCACAGCAGGCCACGAGAACGCACACATGACCCAACCAGCCGCATTTTTCTCTTCCCCCTCCTCCTCTCTCTCTCTTTTTGCAGGAGCAAAAAACCAACAAGAAAAAAGATAGGGTATGGACGGTCAGAGACAAAATTCCTTTTCTTCTGCTCGATGGCGGCCCATTGCAGTGTGAGAAATGCATCAAAAAAAAAATGTAAAGAAAAAGTAATAATAATAATAAAAATGCGCGTGAATGACGCCACACAACAAGGATGCCTATAAATATATATATATATATTGTGAAGAATTCTCCAGGAAAGCTTATGTGCATTTAGCATCATGACCAATTGCCCCATCTTCAAAAGAAGGTTGAAGAACTGCAAACAAGAAAAACAAACAGTAACAAAACTGATGACCCTCCGGAGAAACACGTTCAGTAACGTGAAGCCCTCAGTCGTCGTCGTCGTCGCTGTCAGCAAAAAAAGCATGCATGTCCTCCACAGTGCCGCTGGCATCTTTTGCTCCAACCAACTCCTCCTCTTCTTCTTCTCTTTCTTTGCGCTCCTCTCCTTCCTCATCTTCTTCCCCTCCGGACGCCGCCTTCCCGTCCGCATCCATCGGCATACCCGTGACGCCACTCGTCCAGTGACTAGACGAAATTGACAGCACGCCGCCTGCGGTGTAGTTTTCGCCGACCCCCGTCTCGTCATGGGCTTTGTGCATTTTACCGTTGGGGTCGGCTTCCACCGCCAGTCCACGGTACAGCTCATTAAACTTAAAAAACACATCGGCGCGGTTCTCAAGCCTGGGCACAAAAGACGTCAAAAATGGATACGGCAGCTCCGCTGGACGGGGACGCAATGACATACAATAAGTGCAGCGCACAACTGCATTTTGTTCCTTGGTGCTGAGGTCCACCCTCACGGTGTTCTTCATGCAACACACGGGACAGTCAAATTTGGTTAGGCAATGCAGTGAGCGCTGGTGCCTTGAGGCTGCCGCATAGTGCAGATTTCTCTTCCTCTTGTCACCCTCCTTCTTGGCGTCCTTCTGCATTTTCTCCTTCAGAAAAAAACGGCTATGACGTGACAGACGCGGTGCCGTAGATGAGGCACCGCCACCGTTTCCTTCTTCTGTTGACGGCATATCGGTGAGGTCACCAAAAAAAGTCCAGGGCGACGAGACACGGAGATGGGCTTCCCTGACAACAATTCCCCTTCTTCAGCTACGTTTCTATGCTCTATCCTTCCCTTGGCACCAACACACAGAAAAAAGACACACGCGGGCAGGAATATTTAAAAAAGAGAGTAAAAGATCAGTCCCACCTCCCTTAAACAGCACCAACAACTCATGACAGAACAAACGTGTGGGAGGCAGCAAAAAAAAAAACAAAAAAAAAAACACAGAGCGACACCAAAAACTTTTTCCTTTAAGATGCGGGGAATTCACGGATGCAGTCGGGAGGCAACAAATTCGACGTAAACACAACCGGCCTTTGTCCTTCCATTGGGGGGTGGTGGTGGTGGAGGCGCATTGCGCATCTGTGCGTGAGGTACTCTGCCTCCTCGATCCTTGCGCATGACGTAGAGCGATGAAGAAAACACCGGGTAAAATCATTTCGTCAGCGTCCGACGCAAAACAAAACAAAACAAAAAAAGGTCCCAACACCACAAGAACAGCATTCACAACAATAAAAAGTATCAAGGCTACCGTTCTCCCCATATATATATGTTTCTCAATTGGTGTCCAGAAGGTTCTTTACAATTATCATCTTGGTAAAGCCATCATACCTCAATAATCGCAAAGGCAACAACAACAACAGGCAACACAACCATACACAATAAATAACAGCTGCTAATTTGTATAATATGCCCTCCTCTCGGTTTACTTAAAGCGCAATACCACCTTCTACATCTTCTCCATACTCTGCGGATGCCTCCTCCGGTGCGAAGAACTGCAAGCCATTCTCCTCATCCTCTTCCTCCTCCTCAAGCTCGATACGATGCATTGCGGCCACGTCCTCACTCCGTGACGTCGGCGCTGCCCCCGTCACTGCTGTCGTACGTGCCGCTCCTTTCGGCACAAACTGCACAAGACCTGTTTTCGCTGTTGTCGTGTTGGTATCAATTTGATGTTCTTCCAGAAAATCGCGGTCCTGCCGCATAAGCTCCTCGCGAAAGCGGAAGAAGACATCAACAGGCTTTTCAAGCGGAAGAAACGGAAACTCCTTTCCGGCCCCGGCGCGACAGGAACGGCAATGCAGTCTGGCAGAGCCACTACTCCGCACGAGTCGCACGGCAATGGAGTTCTTTGCGTCGCAGAGCGGGCAATCAAAACGCGCCGGTATTTTGTACTTGCTCTCCTTCTTGATGGGGACGGCGGTCTTCTTCTTTTTCCCTCCCATGAGTTCGACAACAAGACCTATTCACAAATATGACTGTACTGCCCACGGACCAGAAAACAACAATTAACTGCCTGCTAATAACAAAAAAAAAAAAGCGGCCTACAACAATAACAGAGGCAAACACACACACACAAACACGCAAAGATACACAGAAGTAAAACCGCAGGATCCCAAATTTATTCTTCTTCAACAATGCGCATGTGTAATGCAAGGGGAAGAAAAAATAAAAAAGGCAGAGAAGAAAGAGCAAAGAAATTGGCCTTAGGAAGGCAGAGGGGAAAAGAAACTGTTTGTGTGAATATGGGCCACAAGAAGTTAATACTCCCTTCCACTTTTTATATATGGAGATTTTGTGCATGCAGTCGTAGTGGGATCCGGTTGCCACAAACAAAACAACAACAACCAACAAGGAACATATATGTACACATTATATATATTATATATCCCTTCATTCTCTCTTTTTCTTCGTGTTTCTTCTGCTTATAAATACCTTTTTTTTTTTTTTTTTAATACTTTCTTTCCCTTTTTCATTTTTATTTTTCATGTCACCATTTTTTTTTTTTAATATGTTTGCTTTAATCGCTTCTAAAAGAAACGCCACAATTTTCCACCACCATCACCACCACCACCAGCAGCAGCAGCAGCATCAGCAGAGAACGGCATATATACACATATGTCGGGTTATATATGCCTGCCCGTTGAATACCCTCCTTCCATGCATCATTCATTCATGACTTGCGCTCCTTCTTCACAGAGGGCGCATGAATTGTCGATTCACTGCCTGTTGCAGCTGTCCGCTTTTTCGTCATCCTCTCTTTTTGGCTGCTTTCAATTGCAGATGACCAATGCGTCGCCAGTCGTGCCTGTGTCTTCTTCAGATATCCATCTGCTTCCTCCACCAATAGAAGTGCCCTGTCTTTTGCGGTTGCGTCCTCCCTGGTTCCACCACCAGCGGCGGTTGTGGCGGGGACTGCCGCATTTGGAGGTTTGTCAAACATGAAGAAATGGCGTTCGTATAGTACGGGTTGACGGCGTGAAACAGCAGCGCTGAGGGCTTTAAAAACGGCAACTTCACCATCTTTTTGGGTTCCACTTGGTCCATTCTTCTGTAGGAGAAGATGCAAATGGCCTGCTCGCATGGCCCGTGCTGTACGACCAGCGCGGTGAACATACTGCGCAAGCGTCTCCGGCGGGTTGTACATAATGACATGGCCCACGTTAGGTACGTCCACCCCCCGCATCAAAGCATCCGACGCGACGATGCATGCATCTGGTGACGATTTAAGAAGCGCACGCCGCCGTTCACTCTCGGTCGAAAGGGTCGTGAACTCCGTCGCCTTTAAGCCAGCAGAAAGAAGAAAATGACCCATAACACGCGCCTCCTCCGCTGTACGACAAAAGACAAGGATGCGTTTACCGGCATCGTCGCTGCACGACGGATATTCGCTAGGCGATGAAATAGTTACTGTAGACGCATGTCGCTTATGACGTCGATAACCAAGAGCACGGAATTCCACCTCGTTCTCTTCGTCTCTCAAAATACCATCTTCTTCTGGATTCACGCCATGCCTATCATCACCGGCAGAAGCATCGCCATTGACGTCATTGCCTTTGTTTTTGTTTCCACGCGGCGAGATGGTCCCTGCCGGTGCGCAGCCCGTACTTTGCTTCGCAATAATGGCTCGGACGAGTTTCAACAAAACAGCATGGCGGTACCAGTCTTCCACAAAAACGACATGTTCCTGCAGTTTTGGAGGAAGTGCAAAGGAAGTACGTACCAGTTGTTGGCGTGAAATGGGCAAAGCTGCCACTGGATCATCGTTTTCTTCATCGCTATCTTGTTGCCCCTTGTCCCCATCCTTGGCGCCGCGACGCTTCTTCCCTCTTTTACTCGTGTCATTGGTCAATGGGAGCGGCTCACCCTCATCACCCCGGTGAATGTCACTGCCAAAACTATCCAACGCAAAGTGACGACAGTTCCGTAGCCGCACTTCCGAGATGCGAGCAATGTGCGAGGAAAGGGTCGCAGAACAGAGCATCTTGTGTAGATTGTACGTCAACTGCACAAGGCGACGCGTTCCACCCACACTCCCTACACGCGTCACCTGTTCCCCTTCAAAGCGCTCCACCACTTTTGCTACAAAATTGGAAAAATTCCCGGCAAGGACTTGATCCGCCTCATCAATAACCAGAAAACGCAGGTCGGCAAGAGAGAGTCCAGGCGTACCGTCAAGATGTCGCAGCAGACGCTGTGGCGTCGCGACCAAAATATCAACACGGGAGTAGTAACGCAGCCAAGAGGATGCCCGCGCAACATCATCACTGGTGGAATCATCAACAGCGGCATCATGATCACAGTCACCGTACACATCACCAGCGCTGGGCTTTTCTGCATCACCTGGGAGAGGCATGCTGTTTACGACGGTGACGGAGCGCACAATGGATTCTGCTTCTTCCTTCACACTAATGTCCCCTTTGCAGAGCGATTCCACAGCGATGGATGTGCCACGGGTAAGTTGCTGCAATTCGCGAAATACTTGCATGCCAAGAGCTTTCGTTGGCACCAGCACCAATGCCCGGAGGCATGTGTGGTCCACACCCTTCTTGCAATCTGTAACCAGGTGCAGCATGGGCAGCAGGTAGCAGAGTGTTTTTCCACTGCCAGTGGGGGCGGTGAGACAAAAATCCATAGGAATCCCGCTCAATAACGCACGCTGAACTACTGGGATCACGGCCTGTTGCACTGGCAACGGTTTCTCGTAGTTTAACTGCTGCTGCAGAGTGTTGAAAAGCCATGCATTACTCTCCCCAATGCATTTGTCCCACCCATCTGTCATCGCCCAATAACACCGTCCCGTCCCCCTCCCGGCAGTGCGGTCCCCTTTAATTTCCGTTAGATCGCTGCCGCTATTACCCTCTGCCTGCCTTGTTACCGGCACACACCCAATGGTGCCAACGAAGTACGGCGTTTACAAGAGAGAATGAAAAAAAGAGTCAAAAAAAAAAAAAAAAAAGGGTGAGGCAGTTCAGGTAAGTGGCATACACGCACGCACACAAAAAAAATCATTTCCACAACAATCCACGCACCTCATGGTTGAGCAGTTTTCCCCTCCCCAGAACATCAGTCCCTCACCTGTCTTCCACTGTGTTCGTCAGTGCTTACCATATGATGGCTTCTTCTCATTGTTCAATGTGGCAAACTCGCTTTACTTCATCTTATTCTCCGCCCCTCACCGTCTTCTTTTTTCTGTGCTTCCCTTTCCTCTGTGCCTACACACTACAAATGCGCAAAGTGGTACTCATCAACCAACTTCTCAAAGACAAAAAGATTCTTCTCCGATGCGAGTCGTAGAAGAGTCCGTCGGCACCCGTCATCCGTCCCAACCGGCCGCTTGACAGCCATGAAGTGCAACCGCTGGTGCGCCAAACGCACCGCCTGACCCACGTCGCTATTGCCGCACATTTTTGTATAAAGCGGGCTGCTAAAGAAATCCCGCATGAGCGCGCGTTCTGTGATTGTCTTCCCTGTAGCCGTCTCGTGCACCGTCAACAGTGCGGCTACTCTAGCCCCCACGTCATTTGCCTTCTTCGAAAGGAGTAGGCCGTCAAAAACCACCGCGGATATGGGCAACTTGCGTGAAAACACTGGCACGTCGCGTTCCTCCGGTAAAATGTGTTCCGCAAAAAATTCGCACACGGCCTGTCGATCTGCACAGCCATTCGCGAGACGATGCGTCAGGCCCTGTGGGTCCCTGCGGTCCTCAATTGTGAAGGGGGAATTGGCACTTGCACATATACCTTGCATTGCTGCAAATGCCTCGATGTCTGTGCAGAGCAGTGGAAGAAGCTTGTAGTGAAAGTGCGGCTGATGAATCGCCTTCAGTTTCTCAAAGTCTGTCACAATGACATCACGTGGCAGACGTGACGATAAGGAGGAGGTGGCAGCCATGTGAGTCATAAGCACAATGCGCCGAAGTTTGTAACCACTAAAGACTTCATCAAAGACATTCTCGCGGGTAACGTCTCCAGAGACTTGATGGATTAACAACGGAATCATGTGCTTGTGACGCTTCTTAATAAGCGATGCGTACACATCGCGTTGCATTCTCTCTATTTACCTCAGATCACAACCTCCTTCACCACAACCCTCGTGTGTAAAGCAGAAAAAAGAAAAAAAAACAAAAAAACAATGTATAAATGCAGGTATAAATATATCAAAATTGTGTGCCGCAAAAAAAAACGGTCCCCAGAACTAGGACACATCTATGAATACCTCCACGCAATCTCCTTCCCTTTCTTACTCACTTCCTTTCATGTTTTCTCCAGCATACACAAAGACACAGAGAAGCACGCCACAGAATAAAAGTGTAGGTGGTTGCATGCATGTATGTATACGTGTGTATTTGTGCATCAAAGCAAATAAAAGGTGGATATGTATGTATGTGCTGAGCCAAAACCATAGGAACACCATCATAACCACCTTCTCCATGAAACATACTCCCTTTCCCCCCCTCCAAACACATACACACAAACACACACAAACAAACAATTGTTATTTCACTCCTTCTCCTCCTTTTAAATATCGCCTCACTTTTTATTTACCCGCACCCCACTTTCTCTATAAAGATACAACTTACTACATTGAGACATGTGGAAAAAGCGCCTATTTGTGTGTGCGTATGTGTGTAACAAATTCATGTGCACTTCATGAGAATAACAAATACAAGAAAAACAAAAGAAATAAAGACACCATCTTGTTCTATGTATAGATGTTAAGTGACATCATCATCATCATCATCATCACCGTTGCTCCTTTTATTCCAACGTAAAAAGCAGCAACACCATTCGCCTCGGATAAAATCGTTTCATGATGCAAACCAGCAACAAAAAAGCGGA